GATCTGTTGTACATGGAAGGTGTTTGGATACTGCAGTGATGGGCAGTAGTACAAAACCCATAGATGCTGATTTCACAATGTCCGCACCTGTTGGGGTAGGATAGATGAGTTCCAAGGCTGACCCATCCCAAATGAGGTTTATTCTACAGCTGGAGGTTTCTTAAATAAGTAATACTCTTGTTTCCTTCCCCCCTCTCCCAGATGGTTCTCTCAGTTCAAAGAGGTGGACTTTGCCCGTGCAGGTAACAAGGCAACATTCACAGTGAGCCTGGACACAGGGCCCCTGGAGCAGTTTCCCCACTCCATGGAGCCTCAGTTACGGCAGCTGGGATTGCCAACGGCTTTGAAAAAAGGTATGTGAGCTGGCTGGGGCATCTGATCATAATTCCCTCTCTGCCACTAAAATTATTCCAGACTTACTGGCTTTTATTTAATAAATGTTGGTAACCTCTTGGTCAGCATATATGCAGAAAGGCCTGGTAGGGAGAGTGTTAGATGATGGAAGCAGAAGTCAGAGCATATGTTCAGCAGGAAACTTCTAATATTAAAACCCCCTTCCTCCTCCTATGGTTGGCACTGGAATTGTTTGTTTATTTTTCTATATCATAAAATTATTGTCTCTAAGAGCTGGTTAGGATAAGTCAAGCACCAGATGAAAGCCCCATCTCCTATATGCCTGGGTTTTCTCCTATATGCCTGCAGGTCACAAGGATTTCTCACGGAGGATGCAATTTATTTACTTCATTATATGCCTTGGCAAAGCCACAGGCGGTCGTGTGAAGTCTCCTATTTCTGTCAAAGGAATTGGGAGGAAGGAAGCAGCCTGAATTAGTAATTGTATGAAAATGGGGGAGCCGTGGGGACTCAGCATTTGGGAGAGGACAGGTATGAAGCAAACACCTGCTAAGAGATTAGTCGCTGAAGTGGGTTTACACTGCATATCAATTTCAACGACTGATACATGCCTTACATTATATTACATTTCCTCACAGAACTGTCTGCCTATGTAAAAATCAAACCCATTTATTGTGCTGCCGAGTTGAAGCTTCATTACTCTATGCTGCCAGCAGTAGAGAACCAGGCTGGGAGCTCTGATTACCACAGCAGCTCCAGTGTTCTCTAACCTCATGTGGTATTCATCCCCCTGACTGGATCCCCTTCTTCCTCCTTGTTCCTGCAGGAGTCGTGACACTGCTTTCCGATTATGAAGTCTGCAAGGAAGGGGATGTTCTGACCCCTGAACAGGCTCGTGTCTTGGTGAGTAACGTATTAGCAGCAGTTATGCAGCTGTAGTTCACAGGCAGCCACTATTTCCATCCAGTAACAAGTCCTGTGGAGCCTTCATGACATTACAAATCAGTGTGGCCAGTAAATTTAATTCAGTGTATGAGACCATTTGTGCTCAAATCAAGTAACTTCAGTTCTGGCTATTAACAATAATGCATAGCTGCTGTTGATTAGGGTTGTAATATGCATACTTACGAGCTGTTTTGGCTGCTAAGCAATAATACCTGACTGGGGATTAATGACCAGCTGGAAGAACAGCCCAAGATGCAAATGAAGGAGTCCAGCTGATCACTTGAGAAACACCCTGTGCTGAGACAGGTATTGTTTAATTCTAAGAACACGCGGAGAAATGACCAGGATGATGGACCAGGTATTGCTAAAAGAATTAAATGCCTTGCATGTTGAGATTTGAATCCTGCCTTTGCATTCTAGTTTTATACCGTGCATTTTGAAACCAGCAGTAAAATCATAACTGCCTGAGAGTGGCATGGACTGAGGGAAGGGATCCATCTAATCGAGCTTGAAGGAAAAAGTCTGCATTAAAATAGCTTCATGTTTTTGGTCTATCTCAAGTTGAACTTATCCTTATATTAAAATGCACCCTTTGACTCTTGCTTACATCCCCTATGTTTTGGCATAATCCAGTTTAAAGATGTTACTTAATGTGAGAGCTAGCAGTATGAGTGACAAGTTCCTGTCTCCCTTTCAGAAACTCTTCGGCTATGAGATAGCAGAGTTTAAAGTGACCATCAAGTGCATGTGGCATTCTGAGACCGGAGACTTCCAGCAGTTAGTGAAAGAGACAGAAGAAACCTCAGAGATGGAGGAGGACGACGATGAAGAAAATGACAATTAACTGAAAGACCCGCTATAGGACATTAGAGACAGTTTGTTCTATTTCAAGAATAGTCCACTGAAGCCCATGGGTACTCTCCCTCAGGTGCAGCAGGACAAAGTTGATCAACCCACAGACTTGCTATTTATCAAAGATGATGCAAATGGTTTATATATAAAATTAAGTAGAAATTTGGGATTCCTGCCTGTGCCACCTCTGACTGCCTCTTTAAGCATCCCTGGGCCAGGAGGAAATGTGCAGCACCTGAGAGCAGGCTAAAGTAAAACCCTTTCCACTCTGTGCTTATTGTTCAAACTTGAGCCGTATCTCTGCAAATCTACTTCACTGCCCCATCCTTCCTCTCTACAGAAAATTGCTTTTGAACTGCTCACTTTGCATTAGAAATGACAGTTGTATGGAGTCAAGTTGCATTTAAACAGTTGCTCTCTAAAGGAGAAGGTGCTAATTCATATTGCCTAGAAGGTTGGGTTTTGTCTTAATTCTACAGCTAAGAGAACAATCTGGACTGTATTCCTTTGAGAGCAGATACTGACTAAATTACCCCTCAAGCCAAAGGATGCCTCTGCCATCTTTTAGTAAGTTCCTTCTGTCTTCACTGAGCCTGTTTAACAACAGTGCATCACCAGAACCACTGCAGCTTCCCTCAAGCATGGCATATTTCTCAATGTAGAATGGTAACAAAGCAGCAGTTTTCAACCTCTTTTCAGTTACAGGCCCCTACAAAATTTCAAGTGGAGGTGCAGACTCCTTTTGAAATCTTAGGCAGCCTGTAGCCCCCCAGGGGTCTCAGACCACAGGTTGAAAACCCCTGTTCTGTGGTAATGCCAACTTTTTGCAGAACCCCTAGATATAGTCTGCAGACTCCAGGGGTTGGTGGACTACAGGTTGAAAACCACTGAAATAGAAGAATTATCTTCACTCCACTTTCTAGTAGAGAATATCTGTGATTTTTCCTGTAACTGATTCTTGGCCTAGCACCTCCAAGGTTCTAACAGAATGAGTAATTTTTTTTAAAGGGGAAAGAGTCCTAAAAGTTATACTTTAAATGTTGGTGTAACTGCTCTGGCAGTGAGGAGTATGTGTGTACAATACTCAATCTATAGAAGCAGGCAAAAATCCTGTAGTTAAGACTTTAGGATGCAGAACTGAGGTTGCAACTACATGACCGAGACAGAAGGGGGGGGCATTGTGGTGGTAAAGCAGTCACATGACCAGTTGTAATTAGTGCCTATGGCACTTGCAAGAGTCTAGATCAGTGGTCTCCAACCTTTAAGTACAACCCAGGATCTGCCTCAAAGAAAATGTAGAACAAACAGTAATCGCACAAACACCCTTCCCCACTCACTCCATCCTCGCTCACTCTCCCCCCCACCCTCACTGAGCTGGGGTGTGGGCTCTGGGCTGGGGCCAAGGGGGTCAGAGTGTGGGAGGGACTCAGACTGAGCCTGGGGCAGGGGGTTGGGGAGCAGGGTGTGGGGTTTGGGTGCAGAAGGGGGCTCAGGGCTGGGCAGAAGCTTGGGGTGCAAGAGGGGCTGCAGGCTTGGAGGGAGTTGGGGGGGGGGAGCCTCAGGGCAAAGGCAGGGGGTTGGAGTGCAGGAGGAGTTTGGCCAGCATGTCCAGCAGTAGCTCCTCAGGGGAGAAGGGGAGATGGCTCAGCACCCTGCCCGTGTGCAGGCACCACCCCCACTGCTCCCATTGGCCATGGTTCCCCATCCCCGGCCAATGGGAGCTGCAGGGGGCAGTGCCTGCAGGCAAGGGCAGTATGCAGACACTCCCTGCCCCCCAGGAGCTACTGCCAGGAGCCTGCCTTAGCCCCACTGCGCTGCAGGACTGTTAGCAGCCAATCTCCTGGTTTGGCAACCCTAGACTGAGATCAACTGTCAAAGGCTCCACCATCAACCAGTCAATCACAATCTACCAGTTGGTGACCACTGGTCTAGACTGAACCACAACTTTAGGTTACACACTGCCTGTGGAAAATTCCACCAGAGGTAAGACTAGGGTTGTCAACCCTCCAGGATTGTAAGATTAATCTTCAATTAAAGATTGTCATGTGATGAAACCTCCAGGAATACCCAACCAAAATTAGCAGCCCTAGGACTGGTCTTGTGTATGATGTCCACTGTTCAAGTGGGTTGTCTTCAACAGAATTGAGGAAGTTACGTAGCTAGACCGGAGTAAACAAAGTGCTATTTAAACAGTTACTTAATGGGCAGGATAGTTCCCATTCTTGAGCCAAACTACATTAAGGTTATTCCTGCAGTTCTACTATTTAACAAAATATGTTTTAGGAAGCCTGCCCCTGGGCTGAAATCCTGATGGCTTAAGACAGTTTCGGAAGGCCTAGTTTGCACTTTGAAGTTCCTCTCTCAGCTTTAGGGAGGCTTATTTTCACAGCTCTTGCCTTGGAAATAGAGCAAGTAACTGGGCTAAAGTCCCTTCATGAGTGAACAGCACAAGCAAAATTGGAACCTGCACCCTTCCGAAAGGAACTCCATCGCTTTAATCACAACTATCCTTGTAACTGCTATTGTGATTGGGTTTGGCTGTTATTAAAACAGCTTTAAGCAGAAATTCAAAACAAAATCCAAAATTCAATTAAACAGACATGGCCTGAGTTAGAAAATGCTTTATTCTGACAGCTGATTGAAGACAAATATCCACATTCCTACGTGGAGACTTCACGAATTACATCACTGAATCACACCACTATTTTGTGTGCTCAGGTGAAAATAGGAGCTGCCCTATTACGGGACATTCTCATGGCAATTATGGCTTTTAGTTTTGTTTAAGGAAAAACCAGACACCTTATGGCTTGGACACCATGTGCAGCTACCATTAAGTCAGCATAGAAACAGTGAAGCTTGTGATTGTACAAAGAGGTTCAACTCTAGTGCAAGGAAACCCCCATGTGGCACCAATACGTTCACTACCTGGAACCCATGATCCAAGGGTGAAGTTTCCTCTGAAACGCTTTGGGAGGAGTTAGGAAGTCTCAGAGGCCAGGATACTTGGTTACCATCCCCACACTAAACTTGCGACCCCCATTTTCTAGCGGAAGTAGTTGGGACAGTCATGTGCTACTAGGTGCCAGGCTCTATCAAATGCTTCCACCACAGCTGGGAGCAGAGGGCCCTCTTCACTGCACGTGAGGTTCTGCTGCAGCTGATCCATGTTGGACATCCCAATGATCACTGCATCTCCAAGGGCACCCTGCAGTGGAAAGGGAGGAGTTACCTTATAGGAAAACCAGCTTGCCTCCCATCTCGTAACAAACATCAGACTTCAGCTCTGTTGGTCTTTCAGCTGAATGTTGCTCTTTGGCAACTACTGGATATTTGGGGAAATAGGTCGTAACTGCAGTCCTGTTAACAAGGCCAGAACTCAGTGTGCCTTCCAAGTCTCGCCAACCCCTCAAAGGCTGCCAATTCATGCTCTGTGGGTGGCCAGAGGGATGTTTTGGGGGAGGAAGAGAACATAACTATTAATTTCCTGGCCATATGAAAAGCCAGTTTATCACCTCATGAGGAAGTGGCTGGCTGAGAAAAATCAAAACTAGAGCAACTGGCATTTAACATCTTCCACTTTCCTTCAGGCCATGGAGACAAAATACAGAAGGAAGTGTAGAGTGGATTCACTCCTATACTCTGCTGTGTGCAACGGCCTGGCATTGGAAGACCAAAGTAATGTTTCAAAAAGAACAGAGCAGTAGGGTCTGAGTGGATTAAAAGACAGATTTCACTGCTGATGTACTGCAACTGGAAAAACCAAAGCAATCCAGTTGCAGAGTTCCGGTTCTGTTGGACATACCAACCGTCTTATGTTAAAGTCAAGCAATTACCTGAAGTTTGGAGTGGTGGTACATCCAGCGTAAAGCAGCTGAAGTTAGGCTGGGGGGGTTAGAGCCATAAGCCTCCCCTAACGCTTTCTCTACCAGGGCAATGGCTTGGAAATGGTGCTCCTTCCAGTATCTGCAGCAAAGGAGATATTAATGGAGCATTCATTTTACTAACTCAACTATCTCTGGCTTCTTCTTATGACTCAGACATGGATCCATACTGCAGGCAAGAGAACAAAGGGGCATTCCTACCTCCAACAGGTCCAAGACCAGTGCCTGGACTATTGCATGTACCCAATGCAGCCCTTATGGCCTATGCTACCCAAACGGTTTTTGGATGATCCAAAAGGCAACCTCCCCTAGAGATCAGGGATGCTGCAGTCACTGTTTAAGAAGCATAATGTTGCCTGTTGAGGCTTCGGACTCTAACTTATATTTCACTGGTGTAGAATTTATTTTATTTTTTTAAGATAGCTAGTATAGATTGTGTAGATACAGCAAACAAGTTCACAGCAGCCAGCTCATGCCCCTGCATCGTTTCCAGATACCAGACCATTAGTGTACTAAGGATGCACTAGATGTTAGATGGCTAGCTAGAAAAACCTGACTACCTTTTATTCTTCTTGTAGGCCTTTCATCAAGAGCTGAAAGCACTTTGCAAACATTCAGCTTCAGCCTCCTGTACAGGAGGTCAATATCCCCCATTTCACAAATGGGGGAGGCAGCTATTTAAGTGATTTTTGCAAGGCCACAGAACAAGTCGGTGACAAAGCTGAAACTAGACCAATAGTTCACAACCAGGGGTCTGGGGCCCCCTAGAGGGCCGTGAACAGGTTTCAGGGGGTCTGCCAAGTAGGGGCATTAGACTCACTGGGACCCTCGGCAGAAAGCCGAAGTCCCGCTGCATGGGGCTGAAGCCCAGGGCCCTGTCCCTGCCACCCAGGGCTGAAGCCGAAGCCTGAGCAATGTGGCTTCACGGGGGCTCCTGTGGCATGGGGCCCCAGGCAGCTGCCCTGCTTGCTTCCCCCTGACACTGACCCCGGCTTTTATATGCAGAAAAACAGTTATTGTGGCACAGGTGGGCCGTGGAGTTTTTATAACATGTTTGGGGGGGGGGAGGAGAGTAAGGGGGCTCAGAAAGAAAAAGGTTGAGAACCCCTGAACTAGACTATAGAAAGCACCCCTACTCAGTCCTCTGCTGTAATAAAGCCACCACACTTGTTCTCTTTATGATCATTAAACCATCCCTCTAGTTAACGAATTCCCACCACCCGAGTGCTGCAGGGGAGCGCCAAAGCACCACTGTACAGGGACAGTGTAAGAGTTGCTCAGCAATAACTGCGGGAGATCACCTGCCCGTGGGCATAATCACTGAACAGACTTTAGTCATTTGTATTTTCTCCTGCATCGTCGCTGGGTGATTCATCTAGGCTGAATCAAAGGTAACGTTCTAGCCCAGGGATTCTCAACCTTTTTCTTTCTGAGCCCCCCCCTCCCCCCCCCAACATGCTATAAAAACTCCACAGCCCCCCTGTGCCACAACAACTGTTTTTCAGCATATAAAAGCCAAGGCCAGCATTAGGCGCTAGCAATCGGGGCAACCGCCGGGGGACCCACGCCACAGGGAGCCCTGCAAAGCTTAGTTGCTCAGGCTTCGGCTTCAGCCCCATATGGCGGGGCTTCATCTTTCTGCCCTGGGCCCCAGCAAGTCTAATGCCGGCCCTGCTTGGCGGACCCCCTGAAACCAGCTGGCAGCCCCCCAATGGGCCCCAGACCCCTGGTTGAGAACCAATGTTCTACCCTCAGGAGAGGTCTGTCTCTCTGCCATTCTACCATCTGGAAACTTACCTGTCCCTGTAGGTCTGGGCCCAATCGTTTCCAAAAAACCTGCCAGTCGGTTGGCCCGTGTCTTTATCGACATACTTGTACTTCCCTGTCAGCAGCCCTCCTGCAGGGGTTCAATGACATGCTATTGTTAGTGGCCAGGATTTTGTGGTGGATGGAATTGTACAGCCTGCAAAAAGTACTGTAGCCTTGTATACCCCATGACCTCCTACACAAGGCCTCTCCTGCAGCCCAGGCATAAA